CTGAATGAGGAATAACATGATCGGGGTCGCACACGTACTTACGCAACATCGATGCGCTGAATACATTATGAATGCCTGATAACTCGGGAGGTAGGGCTAAATGATACGCGACCTCGCCTACTCGTTCAAGAACCTCGAACGGACCGATGAATCGAGGGTGCAACTTCCCTCTCTTTCCGAATCGCACAACTCCGCAAATCGGACAAACTCGGAGGAAGGCTGGCTCGCTAACCTCGAACTGAATGTCTCGTCGATGATGATCGGCGGAAGATTTCTGACGACTCTGATCTGTCCTGAGTCTCTGCCGGATCAACTCGACCTGATCTGCTGTCTCCTCTATCAACTGGGGACCGAGTACTCGTCGCTCTCCGACGTCGTCCCAATAGAGAGGGGAACGACACTTGCGACCGTAGAGTGCCTCGTAAGGAGCCATCTGAATAGAAGAATGATAGCTGTTGTTATACGCAAACTTGGCGTACGGCAACAAAGACTCCCACTTAGCACCCCTGTCAACAACCAAAGCGCGAAGCATATCCTCAAGCGTCTGAATAGTCCTCTCTGACTGACCGTCTGTCTCCGGATGGTAGGCTGAACTGAACTCAAGCTTCGTGCCCATCGCCTCATGCAACCTGTGCCAGAATCGACTGACGAATCTGGGATCTCTGTCTGATACAATCGTAATGGGCACTCCGTGGAGTCGAAAGATCCCACGGGCATATATCTCAGCCAACTTATCCATGGACATCCTCATCGAAACGGGTAAGAAATGCGCAACCTTAGTCAATCTGTCGACCACGACCCAGATAGCATCGTGATGTTCAGACGACCTCGGCAATCCCGTAACGAAATCCATCGTGACTTCCTCCCACTTCCACTTCGGAATCGGCAGTGGTTGTAGGAGGCCAATCGGACTCTGATGCTCGGCTTTAACTTGCTGACAGGTTAAACACCTCTTGACGAACTCGGCGACGTCCTTCTTCATGCCTCGCCACCAGAACGACCCCTTGAGGCCGTGATACATCTTCGTGCTCCCGGGATGGGCTAGATACGGTGCGGTATGGGCCTCTGATAAAATCTCCTTCCGCAACGCCTCAACGTTTGGGACCACGATCCTGCCTCTGAACTCTAGGGCACCATCGGCACCTAGCTGAAAGCCCTCGACGCCTCCGACGCGAACCTTGGCGTCCATGACACGAATGAACTCGTCAGAAGCCTGTTCTCGTTTGATTCTCTCTCTCAGCGTCGGCTGAAGCTGCATAGCACTAACACTGGCACTGGCACTCCCCGAAACTGCTATGGGAAGTGCATCAATTGCCTGAAGCTGCATCCGGGCAAACTCCTGAATCAGCGGACTCTGCTGAGTAATGACGTACATCAAATCACCCTTCACTTGTCGGCTTAGGGCATCTGCAACGACGTTCGCCTTTCTCGGATGGTACTTAATAGAGCAGTCGTAATCCTTGACGAGCTCTAGCCAACGGCGCTGTCTCATGTTGAGCTCCTTCTGAGTAAAGATATACTGCAGGCTCTTATGATCTGTGAAAATCTCACAGTGACCGCCGTAAAGGTAGTGCCGCCATATCTGTAGGGCATGAACGACTGCTGCTAACTCCAAGTGGTGCGTCGGATAATTCTGCTCATGCGGCTTAAGCTGACGGGACGCATACGCAACGA